CCGCCCACTTTTGTATCTCTGTTAGTAGTAAAATTTTCTAACCGCCCACAGGTTCCACAGTAATTGTGATTTATAAAGTAGGGAAGTAACTTTACTTTATAAAATTTATAAAGAAGTTACAGCAAACCCCTACCACCCACCATGAAAGCTGGAATGCCCACTAGTGGGTGGTAGGGACCAGGTTGACTACCACTGGAATAAACTATTAAAACCAAAAGGCATTTATATACCCAATCAAACTTTCTCCCAATCAAACAGCCATTCAGTCTTCCCATTCCTCTGAAGCCAGTTTTAAAATGAAGCAATCTAACTAGAATGCATGTAATAATTGTTTAGGAATCACTGATTTAAGCACAACAGCAAGTATGTGAAATGTTAATATTTTTATCGTATTTAAAGTTTTACCTGGATCAAGTATATTGAAATCTCATAGTATTAATAATTGAAATGACCTGGAATGTTATACAAATCTTTACATGAGTACTCTTGAATTAGAAAATTAATCAGTATCTCAGAATCAGTATTTCAGGTTCTAAATATTAGCATGAATAAGAAACATTTTCTTTCTTTAAAAACAATTAGCACAAAATGTTACAAAATGAATATTTAAATTTTACAATGTAAAAAAACCATTTCTAGAAGGATCCACAGTAGGCAAACTCAAATTATCCTACATACCAGTTATACAAAATAGTCTGGAATGCTCTTTCCAAGGTGTGACCAAACAATCCGAATGAAATCACACGCAGCCACAAGTACAATTAAGTAGCTTTTGAAAACAGTAACAGCTTTAACTTATAGAAGAGTACTATAACTACAGAGAAAACAGCAATATTTATGGTGGTAAGTACACGTTCATTTTAGTCTTCCTTTTTTCCTGCTTTGAGATTTTTTTGATACCTCCCAATCTTCTATCACCCCAAATTTATATATTGCCTTACATTCCTGTTAACAAATCCCGTCCATTCCAAAACCAGGAGGCTGAAAGGAATAGTTTGAAGAACGGACGCAAAGAAAAGGAAAGCATCACAGAGGAATGGATTCCGTTTTCGAGCGTTTTAGTTTCCTGTATTAAAAAATGAGGGGGACCCGCAGAAAGTAGCCGCCGTAAAATAAGACGCAGGAAATGAGTCCGTGAGAGTAGAGGTTCCAATCAGCAATTCTCTCCTTTCAGAGTGAGAAAACTCGAAAGCACAATAGAAAAAAAATTAAAGAATAGGGTCGGTAAAGGGAAGAAGAGTTTGAATGACAGAACAGGGCGGGGAACTGAGAAAGCGACCGAGAAGCGTCGAACAAAAGTGCGGATAAAGGGAGAGTTTCGCTTTGGAAAGAAAACGAGCTTCAACCTAGAGCCCCAAGGAATCGAGAGGAAAGTTGTGGCGAGCTTGTCCGTCCCCGCAGCCTTTCAGTCTCCTTCAATCGAGAGAAGGAGCCAGAAGAAAGAAATGCGGTTTTGGTTAACTACTAGTTGGGCGCGAGCCTCCATGAAGGGCGAGCAGCAAGCGCGGATACCACCACCGGAAGAAGCGCGAGGGAAGAAAGAAACCGAAGGTGCCTAAACGGGCCTGGGTCCTGCTCCTCCTTCTGTCACCGTCCTCGCTCAAGCAGGCATTTCCACTCCCGCCCTTCCCCAGCAGCGGAAAAGAGCTCGGGATGGAGACTCACCCATGGTGCTGGTGGCGACAGTGGCTATTCTTGCTGATGTTCTTCCCACTCAGCCGCGGCGGCAAGAAGCTAAACGACTCCTTCCCTCACCTAGTAGTGGTGGTGCTTCTGCTACTATTCCCGCTGCACCACCAATTCTCCCCCCCCCGCCAAAAAAACCCCCAACGCTGACTCCGCTGCGTAACCACCGAACAGCCTAATTGACGCCTACGCACACGTACTGAAAGGCCGAAGGGGTTGAGAGACTCCGCTGTCTTTATCCTCTTCCGGCCTCGTCTAAGATATCGCGAGAATTTCCACCCTGAAAATATTTCATCTTTTCCGCAGTTTTCTTTCTCCCTTCTTTTTCTATCCCAACCACTAAGGCACTTTCCTCCATCTTTATCTCGGGCATATTTCTCCATCATGAAACTTAAGTGATGTCTATGAAAACAAGCTATTTGAGGTGTTTATATCGTACCGAACTTTAGCCTATAGATAGATATTTATTTAGGATCAGTTAGTTTCTGCAAGGGAAGCTACAAAAAAAATTAGAAGATTTTGCCCTTCTCAAAGATGGATATCACGGTTACTGCGCAACAGCTATTTTGATTGCGAGATAGGAGCTGTTCGTGGGCAAGCGTAGTCTTGCGAGGCTTTCAGGGTTGGGCCTCTAGCCCTATTGAAACGTGCGGAAGAAGCGCCAACAGTTTCTCAAGGAGGGTAGTTAATGATGAGGGAGCTATAGCTGAGAGGAAGGTCGGCTCGGAGTGATGAATAGAACAATCTGTGAAAAATGAAGGTGAAACGACTGCCTGGGCGCGATCCGCTGGAGATTGGAACATTTAAACAACAGGATTTCGCAAGCCCTTCGTTTTTCTCGTTCTCACCCCAAAGTTTTATTTATGCTCTATGGGCGTTGCACTTCAGAACAACTAGACACAAGGACAGGTGTGCCCCCCCCCCATGCCATGACTCTGCTAAACAACTAATTCCCACAACACTGTTAAACTATCTAAAAAGGCAGTATTACCATCATTATTCTCATCTTCCCTATTCCCTATCACCTTATCTTCCTATGACTATAACTTTGTTGCTTGCATCTTAAGATTTAAGTTGTTTATTTTTTAAAATATTTTTATTTGACATTTTCCAAACATTAAAATCACAATCACACTTTTACAGCTTTCTATTGTAGGTATTTCTTTTTTTCTGAATCTGGTTTCCCATTTTCCATTCTATTATCTAACATTCTATTATGCAGACCCCTTTTGCTTATTTTGTTGTTTAGGCGGCGGATGTTTACCATCTCACCATTTGGTGTGCTTGTCTGTATTTCAAAGTCAAAGGAATTTTACAATCAAGAAAAACAGGCCAAGAGTCTCACACNCATGGGGGGGTGTTGCGCATATGGACAACACATGCATGCATGGTGGGTGCTTGCATTGCATTTTGGGGGCTCACAGGGCACCCGTGCCCCGTTTTGGCTTCCAGGTTGGAGCAGGAGGCTTTCCAGGCCACCCCATTTTGGGTCTGGAAAGCCTCCTGCACCAACCTGGAAGTAAAAAATATGGGGGGGGTGCATGCACGGATGGTGGGGCACATATGAGAGGGTTGCATGTGCATGTGTATGCAGGCACACAATTTTGGCATGCGACTACAAAAAAGTTAGTCATCACTGTTCTATACAGTCAATAAAAATAAGACCAGGAGCTGATATGGCTCACACCATGAGCTTCTCATTGCAAAATGTAGGCTTAAATTGAAGAAAGTAGGGAAAAGCACTAGGCCACTCAGGTATGAACTAAATCATATCTCTAATGGATATACAGAAGAGGTGACAAATAGATTTAATTAGATCTGATAGACAGAGTGCCTGAAGAACTATGGACAGAGGTTTGTAACATTGTATAAGAGGTAGCAACTAAAACCATCCCAAAGAAAAAGAAATGCAAGAAAGCAAAATGGCTGTCTGAGGAAGCTTTGCAAATAGCTTGGGAAAGAATGGAAGCGAAAGGCAAAGGAGAAAGAGAAAGATACACCCAATTGAATGCAGAAATCCAGAGAATAGCTAGAAAAGGTAAGAATGCCTTCTTAAATGAACAGCGCAAAAAAATAGGAAAAAAAATAGGAAAAAAAATAGAATAGGGAGAACCAGAGATTTCTTCAAGAAAATTGGAGATATGAAGGGAATGTTTCATGCAAAAATATGCATGAAAGGGATCCAAATGGCAGGGACCTAACAGAGGCAGAAGAGATTAAGAAGAAGTGGCAAGAACAAACAAGAACAAACATAACGTCTCTGATAACCATGGTCACTGACCTAGAGCCAGACATGCGCTCTACATGGGGCAGCCTTTGAAGAGTATTCGGACTACAACTCGTCCAGAATGCAGCCGCGCGAGC